TTTTAAGAATTAATTCCTTCTCAAGATGTTCAGGGGAATTTTTAGATCCTAATAAAATTAAATAATGAACCCAAGAATTTAAACTGTGCTTCTTAAGCAACAATCTCATCTAATTTTGGCAATATTCCAATTTTATAGAATTGTATAGTATCTGCACTAGTTATGTCAAATTTTCCTCTCCATTAATGAAGAATAGGTTTAGTGTTTCAGTACCTGACTCTTGATTTGGCTTTATCTTTTACTTCTCAAAGTCTAAGAAAAAAGCTACTGTCTACCTAGTGGGAGTTTCAATGAAACTTTCCTATCAAGAAGGCCCCCATGTTTCTCCCCTGGCAAATCTTTTCTGTGCACAGGAAGCAGCTACCTAAGGTTAAGGAGTGAGTCTACTGTCACTGATGATTGTCCACTCTGAGTTTACATCTTGCACTATTTAGGGGACTGGACAATAACAGGGATTTTTATGTTTTATGCAAAAATGTATAGAAGATATTTTTACAAAAGGGCTAAGTGAAGTGAAAGAGCTCAATGAAAGCAAACAATAGGCTGGACTAAAAATAGTTTGGGATGTTGTAACTTCTAACAATGTACAGTTTCAAGCTGAGAAGCTGAGGGGTGAAATCCCAGCCTGGGCTACACACTGACGTCCTCACGGCATGCCATTCCCACTGCGTAGAAGCAGCCTTCTGCATGGGAGTGAAATAATGAATTCTGTCATTTTAAATAGAGATTTATGAACTGAGTGCCCGATGCTAAGCAGTAGATGGAGAGGAATGCTGTGAATATTCCATTGTTGCATACAACAAGCAATGATTTGAAGAAAATTACTGTAATAGGCTGAATGGTTTACCACCAAATCTAGGAGACATAAACTACAGGTCCTCTTACTTGCATGAACCCCTTTGAAAGCCCTAAACTTAATGTTATGTGCATATTTTGAATTCTTCCTAAATTACCTAAACTTTAGGATCCCCAAAGCCAGGATCCCTTTCTGATTGTAGCCATGAATCTTTGGCTATAAAATCACACGTATGAGAAATAGGACTTCAACTTTGCTGTATTTGAACTCATTTACTATCTGAACACACATTTTTCACTGAGTGGAAGAAACAATCTCAGTTAATTCAGAGATTTTGCCAGGTTCTGAGTAGAGTTTACAAACTAACAGAGGTACCAAGATGGAGGGGGAGCATCTGGCCCTACATTGTCCCTTGCCCAGCCTTGCTGTCTCTGATTCACTGATGTTTCTATCTGACCTAGAGGTGTGTGGTCCAAGTAAACTGAGTTTTTGTTCTTGCCTCCACCATAAGCTCCCTTTTGCTGTGTTTTTTCTCAGCTTCTTCCATGTCCCGGAGAGGTCAAAAGCTTTAATTTGTTTTCCACCTAGCAATTCCACTATGGAAACACAGGGAAATCTAAAACTGCCTCAAATGGTCTGTGCCTGGAAATGACAATTCAGCCATGTTCACTCTGCTGTCCCTATGTCATGTGGGGCACTAGAAGCTTCTCTGTAACATACCTCTTTCCTGGACTTTGCCTCAGAATTGAGACACAGGCTTCCTGTGATCAAAATTCCCCAAATCAACTTAGGATAGAACCAGGGTTTAGTCACAAAATCGGACTCCTTTGCAGAGAATCTGGTGTCTAAACCTTCCTGTTCCCCTTACTCATGGGTATAGATTGTAGGGTGAAGAGAGTAGTTGCTTCTCAGGCATCAGAAATTTGTTTATGATAATTTTTTTTTCACATAGACACTATGCTTTGTCTCAGGCTATGGTTTTMTTTTCTTTCTTTCTTTTTTTTWWAAATTCTATTTTTCTTTCTTTTCTTAAGAGACAGTATCTCACTGTTGTCCAGACTGGCCCCAAATACCTGGTCTCAAGCCATCTTCCTGCCTCAGCTTCCTAAGGACCTATGACTACAGGCCTGTGCCCAGCTTGGGCTTTGGCTTTTGAAGCTTAAAAGTCAATATTTCTATGACCCCATGTCAAACTATCAATATCTGCCTTGAGTTTCAAAAATCAGTTTTTGAAACTTGGAATAATTGATGTTCTGTGTTCTGGCTCTGAGCAGGCTTCTCCTTCCAAAGGCAATGGAGGTAGAATAATCAAGCTGAGAGCCTGTGAGGTATGAGGAATTGGCGAGTAATTCATAATGTTATCTGGCCACATCATCTATACAATAATGGTATCCAGTGGCTATTGAAGTGAGCACAATGCAGGTGTCTGCCTAGTCACTTTTTCTTCCTGTCAGAAAATGTTCTAACTCATTGGATTGAATGAATGCTTTCTCGTATGCTGTGGATGATTGCCTATGGTTAAGAAATAACACGTTCTTGGTCAGGCATGTTTGACCGTGCTGGGAGTGACTATAATAGCCTGTCTTTGGGTCATTCGAGTTGGAAATTTTCATTTTCTAAATTTGATAGGTACATATCATTATTCACATTGGACATCAAAAGTTCTGAATTCCCCTTCAGTAGTGAGCCTCAGTAATGGTGCATATAATGTACAGTGCTCAAACACAAGTCCTTAGATCAAAAAAAGAATTTATTAAATTGTGTATAATATTGCAATATGGCCAAAATGTGGTTGGGAGAATCTTTGTTTTTTAAATAATTCTTTRTATAATTTTGAGTAGTTTAGACAGCAATATTTAAATGCTTTATTGATTACTTGGGAATATTAAAGAGTATATAATACTCTTTATAAAAGAAAGCTTGATATAGTATTTACCAAAGATTAGTTTATAATTCTTCTCACAATTGACAAACAAAAATAACAGTTCCTATTTTATAAAGTTAAGCTATCTTTGTATATTTATTTCTCTAAGTYATTGCAAGAGAAAGATGCTATTCTTATACAGGATAAATATAGTAAGTGTTTTAACTGTGTTTGAGCTAGTTTTCTGGAAGTTTTATTGCAATGATAATTATAGCCATAATTTATCTATCAGACCTTATATAGACTAGCAGCTCTATGAAAGTTACTGACAGTAAAATGCAGTTTAATTCCAAAGTAATCAACAATGATTGAATCAGAATTTCACAGCTCCTTGAAGTCATTTGTAATTCAGAATTTAAAACATTACAAGTGGGAAGAATTGTAATTATATCCCATTTGCTTTCTCTTGAGTTATTTATGATGGGTGTGGGCTTTGGACCCTTTTTATWTCCATTAACAGTGTGTTTGACTTAAAAAGATTCTCTTCTTCAATCTTGATTTAAAGTAATTCTTAAAGGCAATCTTGAAGGTAATTTACAGATATTTTCAAGATGAAGGAAACTGAAACACAGAATTACTATACAGAAGAAAGAACTTTATAAACAAATCAGGCTTGACCAGTGGCATGTGAAAATAGGCATTAAAGTTAGAATTGTGAAGATGAACTTTCAATGTTCACTAAAGGACTGATGTCTGAACTACGTTTCAACCCATACTAAAAATGAAGACACTTTCCATCTTCACCTTTTCATGATAAAAAATAAAAGTGATAGAGGCAAATGCCCCCAATGCATTTCTATCTACTTGTTTTTATTTAAAAAGAATTATTTCAGGGCTGGGGATGTGGCTCAAGCGGTAGCACAYTCATCTGGCATGCGTACGGCCCGGGTTCRATCCTCAGCACCACATACAAACAAAGATGTTGTGTCCGCTGAAAACTAAAATAAATAAATAAATAAATATTAAAAATTTCTCTCTCTCTCTCTCTCTCTCTCTCTCTCTCTCTCTCTCTTTTAAAAAAAGAATTATTTCAACAGTCTAAGCCATAGTTATAAATAAGAGGATAATATACTAATACTTTAAAGAAGAAAGTTAGTTAATGTTGTAAAGGTAAATAAAGTCAACATCAACAGTTAATGTCAAGACTCAGAATAAGCAGTAAAATTCTGYCCTCTAAGCTATTAATATCTCAGAAGGGCTGAACAACAGGATCAAGGGTATCTTTTTGGAAGTGCTTCTTACCTTGATTTAATTATTTCAGATTGTAGACATGTATCAAATGACCATAAAGTATCCTATAAAGATGTACAAATTATAAAAATGATGATAAAAAAGTGAAAAGGATATTTTTAAAAACATAAAAATTGAGAGAATTCTGTCTTTAAATTCTTATTTATTAATTTTTATTTACTCATGTTATTCACTCATTCATTGTTAAATATCTATTGAATACAAATTATAATAGGCTGTTTTAAAAATTATATTATAAATTCTAATAAATCATAAATATCAGAAATATGGTTGTGTTAAAGAATTTAATTAAATATCTTCTAAAAATAGTAGAGCTCCTTTACTTTTGTGTATATTAAAGATATACTTTATTAAGTATTATACCAACGAATTTATAAAGCAGATGCATATGTTATTTCAAATATAACCCTATGTATAGTTGCATTCTGAATAGCACTGGAAATTGATATTTAAATAATTAGGATTGAAAATGTAAATATTTAACAAAAGATGCCAATGCCTTAAATCTGTTTTAAGATTATTGTGAGATTATTTAAAACTGATTAAATATCAAGAGTCTACTTATGACCCAGCTGACACAGAGAATTGTAGATAGTTATTGAAGTAGTTTGAAAGAAAAATGAGAATCTTCAGCAGTGGTTTTGAGGTGTGGTACATTTTATTATAATATACCATCTGTACAGCATTGTGCATTACTCCTCCTAGTAGGAATAAAAATCCTTCTGACAACATCTATTCTCTTGAGAATAGTTGGCTATTTATGTGTGGCTTGCGTAACTAAGAATTAAGTGATCACAAAGATAAACAGGTCTATCCAGAGCCCATTTTTACAAATCTTAGTTAATTCTCTTTGGTTAAGCTTTGATTATATCCAATTATTTCCTGTTGGTTCATTGAAAGACCTGACAAATAACTGAGTGACGAGTAGCCGGCATCACATCTCACAAGTTATTTTTTAGCAAACATCAAACTAATTATGATACTGTCTACAGTTTTTAAGCAAACAAATATAAAATATTTTTGTTTCAGATGCGATCTGTGAGCCGTGTCTTTAAGTTCATTGACATGCCAACAGAAGACGGTAAATCCTCCAAGTCCATCAAACCATCCAAGGATGACCAGCTCTCAAAAGTTATGATTATTGAGAATCAACATGTGAAGAAAGATGACATCTGGCCCTCGGGGGGCCAAATGACTGTCAAAGACCTCACAGCGAAATATGTAGATGGTGGGAATGCCATATTAGAGAACATTTCCTTCTCAATAAGTCCTGGCCAGAGGGTGAGATATAAACATTGCTTGCTTTGTTTCAGGTTGTTATTATATGGAGTCACTTCTATATGAAATTTAATTTGCAGAGTCCTGAATCTATATAATAGCCTGATTTTAAATGACTGTACTTGCAGAATATCTAATTAATTGTTAGTTTACCAACTGTGGAAGCGATCGACTAAATCAAAATTATAACATGTAGCGATYGACTAAATCAAAATTATAACATGTTTTAAATGTTCCTACTTGTAAATATATTCCAAGAAGAGAAATATTATATTGCTGACTCCATCATTAGTCTTTAATTTTATCTGGTTGATGTTCTGTCAAATGGAACTTTTTTTCATAGCTTTTTTCAGTTGGGTTTTTTTTTTTTTTTTTAGTTTTCATAAAGATATATTTAATTTTTCCCCAACTGTTACTAAGCAGAATTGATGGAAGAATTATTTACTAAGCAGTAATTTTTTTTTTTGCTTACTAAGTAATAACTTTATTATTTACCACACAGAAATAAGTAACGGTGTTATTTTGAAGTGTTTCTTATAAATCCCAGCATTGTGCTGAACACAGAAGGAACTCATTACATACAGATTTTTTGAATAGATTCTTGGAGAAGAGAATGGTTGTTTCCTGTATAGTTCATGCTTTATAAATGTAGTTCTATATTGTTCTCAAATCCCTTATTSTGTACTACTCTATAAATCTAAACAAAGTTATCACATATTTTTGATTGATTGTCTTTTTCTAATCAAGATAGAAAGTTGAATTTGAAAACTTCATTGTTTTGTGTTTAACTTYAAATAGAGATTTCAAAAAGTAAATTTATGGTCGATAAAGATGTTAGGAATTGGGCTGGGATTGTGGCTCAGTGGTAGAGTACTAGCCTGGCACATGCGAGGAACTGGTTTGATCCTTAGCACTACATAAAAATGAATAAATAAAATAACGGTATTGTGTCCATCTACAACTAAAAGTATATTTTAAAGAAAGATATTAGGAATTATAAATACTGACATAAAAACAGACTATTAGCACTCATTTTCCAGAATACTTGATAAACATTTAATGCATTGGACCAATTTCTGTTAAAAATAAATATAGGATGAACAAAAAGTCCTTGTGTGATGCTAACTGACTTAAGATGGAACACCAGAAATTTTGACTTCTCTCTTAATCTTAGGGATAAATAAATTCWCATATCACTAAAATATTATTTTTCCGTTCATCAAGAATGGGGTTTGTTTTATTTTTTCTGTTCTTGAGGAAAAACAGTTTTTGTTGCAATTTTTTTTTAGTTGGAAATGAACAAAATACCTTTATTTTATTTATTCTTATGTGATGCTGAGGATCAAACCCAGTACCTCATGCATGCTAGGCAACTGCTCTACCACTGAAATACAATCCCAGCCCGGAAAAACAGTTTTAACTTGGTGTAAATGGAAAGATTTTAGATGATTGAATTTGTCTTTAGTGTTAGCATGGGGTTATTCATGGAATTGTTTATGGATATTAAATTTACATTGGAGTGCTGATGAAATGTCTGAAATTTTTAACATTTTTTTCTTCATTACTGAACATGAGGAGATGTTAGTTATGGTTTGCAATAATGTAAAATTAATCATTTGCCTTGGTTCCTCCCTTGCCTTGAAAAAACATAATTAATTATTCTATTCTGCTTTGCTTATCAATGAATAGCATAGGCATCCAGAGTGTCTTTTGCTGGGACCACCAGGATGGATGCCAAAAAATGCAATAATTGTTAAATACACAATTTAACAATTATTAACAATTAACAATTATTAACAATTAACAATTATTAACAATTAACACAGCAGGTTGATATAAACTTGGGACAAATGCCTTGGTAAATTATTTGCTTTAGCATGGTAAAACTATCATCCCTTTATTAATTTATTTGGGTCTTAAGTGTAAGTAGGTGTCTTGTGGAAAATAAGTTGGGTCTTATTTTTTTAATTTGCTCTGGCAATCTCACTTAATTGTCATATTTAGACTGTTGGCATTGAAAGTGATCATTGATATAGTTGGATAAATATCCGCCATATTTGTTTTTGTTTTCTGTTTGYTTCCTTTTGTTCTTTATTTCCTTTTTATCTTTAACCCTTTTCCTTTACATTGTAGTTTCAATTAAGCATTTTATGATTCCATTTTTTCTCCTTTATTAGAATAATAATTCTATTTTTTAAAATGAATTCTCTTTTTTTAATGGTTTACCTAGAGTTTGCAATATACACTTACAAATAACCAAAGTTTATTTCAAATAATACTATATCATTTCACGGGGAGTGCAAGTACCTTATAATAACAAAATTTTACCAGCTCCTTTAAATATAGTATTCTTGTTATATTTTATTTTACTTATATATACATATAAAAGTATACATATATATAATGTATATTATCAAATATATTGTTGTTATAATTATTCTGAGCAAACTACTTTTCATTAGATCAACCAGGAATAAGAAAAATTAAAGTTCTCATTTTGCCTTCACTTAGTTATTTAGATACTCTTTCATTAGATAGATACAAGTTTCTGCCTATATATAGATCTGAGTTTCATTTTTTTTTTTCTCTGACATTCTTTTGACTTTACATTCTCTGACTTCTTTTAACATTTCTTGTGAGACAGGTCTACTGAAGAACACATTCCTTCAATTTTTGTCTGACAAAAATTATCCTTATCACTTTGGAAGGATAATTCCACAGGGTAAATTCTTGTTTCTGCAATTCTAGTTTGACTTGTTCTTTCTCTCAACATTTTAAATGTTTCACTTCACTCCATTTCTTGATTGCATAGATTCTGAGAAATTAGATGTAACTTTTATCTTTGTTTCTTAAAAAATAAAACATTTTTTTTCCTCTAGCGTTTTTAAAGAGCTTTAATTTCTTTTTGATTTTTTTTTTATAGTTTGACTATGCGATGCCTCAATAGAGCTTTTTGGGTTTTGTTTATTTATTGGTTTGCTTTTGACATTATTCTGCTTGGTTTTCTTTGAGTTGTGGTATGGCATCTGACACTAATTTTGGAGAAACTCTCAGTCATTATCCTTTCAAATATTTCCCTCCCTTCCTCCCTTTCTTCCCCTCCCCTCCCYCTTTCCGCTTCTCCTTCTGGTATTCCAGTTATGCAGATGTTACACTTTTTGTAGTTGTCTCACAGTTCTTGGGTATTCTGTTTTTTGTCTGTGTGTGTTTGTGTGTTTGCTTATTGCAGGGCTGGGGATTGAACCCAGTGTCTCTAGCATTCTAGGCAAGTGCCCTACTACATTCCTAGCCTCTGTCCATCATGACTGAGCTCATCAAAGGAATTCTTCATTTTTATTCCAGGATTTTTTTTTAATCTCTAGAATTTATTGTGATTCTGTCTTAGAATTTCCACTTTTCTGTTTACATTATTCATCTGTTTTTGCAGATTATGTATTTTCCTATTAAAAATCTCATCTTATTAGTCATAGTTGTTTTAAGTTCTGACTCTCTTAATTCCAAACATCCCTGTCATATTTGACTCTGGTTCTGATACTTGTCTTCAAATTATTGGATTTTTTTTAAAGTTAGTTTATTTATTTTGATTTTCAATTTGCTTTGTGATTTTTTATTGAAACTTGAACGTGATGTGCTAGATAAAATGAGCCACGATAAACAGGCCTTTAGTAATGTAGTGGTAAGGTGTTGGGGGAGGGCAGCCTCTTAATATTCCTATGACTGAGTCTCAGGCTTTACTGAACTTGTGTCCTTGAGCTGTGAACTTCACTTAGCTTTTCCCACCACACTTAGGTGGGACAGAATGACAAGAGTGGACTGGAGTTAAGTATTCCCTTACCTTAGTTCAGTTAGGCTCTGAAAAAAAAAATCATAAATAGGCTTGTCATGGTAAAATAGTTTTTCTTAAGTATAGGTCTTATTAAGAACAGAATGCCCTAGTCTATTTCAAAATGGTTACTTTTGTCCTCCTCTTGCCTGAAACATAAGAGAATTTTTTTTTTAATCTTCACTGTGAGAACATGGTAGAACTCCTGGAGATAAAATTCATGCAAGTTTAGAGCTTCCTGATGACTGAGTCCCCTTAGAATTGCTTTGCTTTCAGACTCACCCACACTGTTTCCAGCAAGTTGTCAGTTATAGTTGTCTTTCCTACCCTGGTGTGCTGGCTCCCTCAGGTTTCTGCTTGGTGGCTTCTGTCTGATTCTCTGTCTGATTGTCTGTGTCTGCTTGTCTATCTCTCCTGTTTGGGGTAATCATGGTTCCCATTGTGACCTTATATCTCTGGTAGATCCAAGAAAAGTTTTGTYGATTTTCCACTTTGCTGAAGTCTTCACTTGTTTGGATACAGTGACCACTTCCAAGCTCTGCACATGTCAGACTAGAATCTGGAAGTTGTTTATTTTTTTATCCTATTGTCGAGCACATTGTCTAGTTTAATAAATATTGAATGAATGAATAGTTAATAAATGAATGGATGGCTTATTCCTTCTTTTAAGTCATATGCTTCCTTAGAATAGGAATTGATTCTTAAAATGTCTTATGGGCAGTTCTCTTAGAAATGCCATTTCTATTGCCTTGTTCTTAGAGTTGTAACAGCATCTTGCAAACTGTAACAGAATATATTTCTTATATACCGAATTAAGAAGCAAACTCAAATTAGTGTGCTATTTTGGGTATCTAAAAATACTTYAAACTCAGTTGTGTGCTAATTACTCTTCTTGGAAAAAGAAGCAATTGAAAATTCAAAGTTTAAATGGACATATCCTTTAATTTTTAATGGATTTCAATGTTTGTGGCTCTAGGGAGGATAGATGAAAAAATCAATATTTTGTGCAGAAAAATTATTCAATCTTCACATTAAAACACATTGTCCATAGGAATTGCTTTATGGAAAAGATATCCTACAAATTTATTTGCTATTAAACACCTTTAGTTCACAGAAATTATGCTTTAAAAGTTTTTATTTTTAATGCATGAGGAATATAGCACCTTCCATATAGCTGTTACTTTCAAAATATTTTTTCAATCTCAAATAGCTTTTTTAATTTTTTTTTTTATTTTTTGGTCTAAATTTTAATAACCAGATTGTCTTCCCCCAAATAGAGTACCTCTAGTTTTTTTTCTTTTCCTTTCTCTCCTAAAGATGTAGGCTGGAGTTTTAATTTGGAGTCAGGTCCTTCATGATAAACCTAGGCTTAATTCTCCAGATGGCATGTTTTAAATGATAGTACTAGAAAGTCCAGTGATTAAAGAAATATTTAATAATTCTTTAATATCTATTTTTTGGGGAGTGATTATAGCTGCTTTCTCAATTTGTWGTCCCTTCAAAATACTTTAGTATCCAAAGTGATTCATAGAAGAGCAAGGCCTTATTAAGAACAGAATGCTCTAGTCTATCTCAAAATGGTCACTTTTGTCCTCTTCTTGCCTGAAACATAGGAGAATTTTTCTAGATCAAATTAGTACAAACACTTAACTGCCTATTTGGTTTGTTAACACATATCTCATTTTTGTCTTGGGAAAAATTGGTGCACAATAGCTGAATCATTCAATAATCTGAGCAGCATATAAGTTTTATTATTAATAAACAGGTATAGGAACACATAAAATCTTCAATTATGGTACAGTGCTGGCCTGGCATGCCAGAGGCCCTGGATCTAAATTTCACTTGACTTAGTATCTTGATTTATAGAGACCACAAGGAAATGAAAAATAATTACAACATACTTCTATCTGTTGCAGTGTTAAAATTGCAAGTCAGACACTAATAAGGAAAGTACTGAGACTATTCATGGTATAATGTGATCACAACTGGCACTAAACTCAACAGTGTTTTGACTTTCCACATAATAATTTGATTTATCCTCATCCAAAATTCTCAGAGAGGAGGCATATTGAAGTTACTTGAAAATACTGACTTGGAATTAGGGTATGTCTTCAAAGCTTATTTATGGGAAGTACTCTTACAAATCCTGGAAAAGAATTATGGTGTGCCAATTATATAAACAAGAAAATTGTGGTAGGCACAAACCAATGAGAATTCTTGCTGTTGAAAAACTTGTCATACATAATGCATTACTCGAAGTTCAGTGATAGGAGAAAACCAGAACAACAGCTAAAAGCTTTAAAGCTAAACAAAACATTTATAAATTGACTCTTAATCCAGTCTTATCCCAACATAAAAACAGAAGGAAAGGCAACATGGTCATTTATCCTATGCATTAGGATCCTGACTAATAATTTGGGGATTTAGACCTCAGGGTGCTTTTGAGCCAATATTCTTGGTATGAACTTAGAGCAAATTACTGTCACCTATTGGACTTCTCTTTCTTCTCTTACCTTCTATCTCACCTGCAGTGTGTGTATTCAGATTGCTTACACAAAGCTCTATTGCTGTGTTTGAAAAATCATGTACTTTTGCAACATGGGCTTATTCAGAAATGTGCATATGAAATTCCACAAGGTTTAAAATTAAGGGTGGTCTGGCAACTGACCAAAATTAACTAAATCCATTTATTTGTAAGAACAACTAAATATGTATGTTCATTCATCATCTTATATCCTTCCATCTGACTGTCTCGGAGTCAATCTAAATAGTTATTTAATTGAGAATTTTGTATAAGCCAACCACCTTGCCGGGTGCTAAGAATGGAAAACAAGATAGACACCCTACTCTTGTTGAAGTTTATCAGTTTTGGTGTGAACACAAGCAATAACTAAGAAAAAATAATTACAAATTTTAATCAATACTGTGAAGAAACAGAGCAGGGTGTTGTGAATAACAGTTGCTTGATTTAGTTTTCTCACTCAGAGAAAAACATTTGTGAAAGTCCTAGTTTAGAGCTCCTATAGTAGATAGGAAGAGCATGGTTACTGTTATTATTGCTTACCAGCTTATCCCAAAGGCCTAGTTTATTAGCAAGTTTCTATAAATATTCAGCAAGTTATCATAATCATGGCTGGTTATAAACTCTAAAACATTTATTGTGGTCCACATACTGGTTCTGGTTTACCAACTGTTACTGGTCTATGATGAAATAAGTACAGATATTCAGAGTAAGCTTTTAGAAATTCATTTTTATTATATGTTTTTAAAGTACTAATTTACAATGAATTGGGAATTTAAAAACAATTCTTCATTATAGATAGTGTGATAAACACTATTCTAGAAGACCATTTGCTAAGCTATATTGTAAAGAGGACATATGATTGATTAAAAGAAGAAAAGGAAAAGAGAAGGAAGTTAATTAAATCTCATCACCAATCACTAAATGTCATGCAGTTTATTCTCTAGTCAGTTAATGACTGAAGGAACATTCCATCCCAACCCAACCCTCTTCCTCAAGAGCTGGAGTCTGAGCTAACATTAGAATACAGAGTTTGAGCATTCCGTGGGTCACCTGTAGCACTTGTCTCCCCCAACAATGTGTGACATCCTCAATTTCATGCTATGCTCTTCCAGACTAGACAACAAGAATAGCTCCCCTCCCCTTTTCTCTAATGTCTTTTTTGCTCCCTGAATTTGATTTGATGACTGTTCCAGTGCTTATCTATTCCTGGATTCACCCCGCCTCCTTTAAGAATGTATAGCTCCCTGAACATATTTGTATTTATTGTCAGACCTGAAATTGATACTTGCTTACTTTATTAGAAAGAGTATCTAAATATTAGACCTATTTTATATTAACTAACTTTCAAGTTTATATCCATGTTTGGAACTAGATCAGGGTATATATGTCTCTGCTTCTGGCTCAAGCCCATCCTTAGAAATAATGTACATTAAGACACTCTGACTTTGCTTTTCTTAAAGTTGAATGTGCGTTGTCTACCTTTTTTGTCATTAGTAAAGGTCAGTGACATAAAAAACCAGTATCAGGTGTCTAATTCCTTGTGATAGTGCTTTTTCTACATTTCATTCTCGGATTACTTTTCCCTCCATAAATTGATCAGAATTAGGAATGTTCAAAAGGGCTTGAATGAGTAAGCAAAAATCTTCCCCTGATAACAGAAGAAAAAAATTCCACTGGTTTTTATTGAAGTACAATCCTGAATTGCATTTACAGTATGGCATCTATATGCCTTGAGAGTAATTCCATCACTTTTACTCCATAGGTGGGTCTCTTGGGAAGAACTGGATCAGGAAAGAGCACATTGTTATCAGCTTTTTTGAGACTACTGAATACTGAAGGAGAAATCCAGATTGATGGTGTATCTTGGGACTCAATATCTTTGCAACAGTGGAGGAAAGCCTTTGGAGTGATACCACAGGTGAGCGTAAGATGTAGCCAGAAGGAAAGCAATGAAGGTGACATTATTTCCAGAAGGAAAGCAATGAAGGTCTACCATTATTTGATGCTTGCACTCAAGAAAGTCACAATAGTCTGTGGAATCAATTTGTTATTCATTGTTGTCTTTTTTTTTTCCCCCTGCAATGACATAAAAAGATATCATAAGGAGTAAAAAATGTCTCCAGAAGTTTGGAATTCTCTACGACATGTAGTTATTAAAATGCCCATAGTTTTTGATAGCATTTCTCAGAAGATAGTCTACAGCACTAGCCTGGGCTTTTGCTTTTACCAGCTTTTTCCCCGCCTGCTTCAGAGGTCTGAGCTCCAGATTAACAGTCACAGCAGGTTGAGAAATGCTTTGTAAGGCATAAAAGGTGCTCCTGAAAACAGTAAACACTTGGAAGCTTGAGGTAGTAGAATGGAAAAAAGAAAATGTATTGGCTGCTTTTGTTGTTTGGATAGGAAGAACCATGTCAGATTAAACTTAGCTTTTTTTCCCCCTCTTAAATGTCATTCTTTGATTTGGGTCAAAAGAATTTCTAGTCTCATTGGCTTAGTACTATTTTATCTGTGTTATTGTACAAAAGCATTTCTTGTATCAGAGAGAAATAGCAACAGTTTTGTTTTAAAATGATCTAAATGGAAACCAAAAACTGTCTTTATGGGGGCCCAAACTAAAAGGCATTTGCTCATCTCTATGGGTGTTTTCATTTAAAACAATCTTTTGTCCCTTAGTACTAGTGRGCTCTAGTATTCTAACACCTCTTCATTTTTAACTCAAAATTAAAATGCCAGGGGCATCTCCAGATAGATTGACTCAAATCTAAACTGAGAAAAAAAGCTTGTATGTCTTGATAGATTACCTTTGGGGGATATTTGTTCCTTTAAACTAATGAGGCACTAAATATCAAAAATGCTAGACTGATGCTTTTAATTCATTTGTTTGGACTTTGCCATGTTGCCAAAAACTCAATCCTGGCTGGAGTTTTGAAAACAGTCTTGTTTTCTCAAAAAGAAAAAGTGGATTTTTGGATGGCCTAAAGATAAAGGAAAACTGGAAATACAAGTATCCCAAGGTGATAACATTAGACAAAATAAAAATGCTGAAGAACATGGAATAGAATCTGGTTGTTAGAGAAGTGTTGCTATACAGTTTAACTAGGTCTTTTGGTCCCATTTTAAACTAACAATAATAAAGCTTTTGGTTTTCTTGTTTTTGTTCAGAATAGCTAGCTGTCCATTAGAGTCAGCCAAGCTCTAAAAGTCAATTTCAGTCTCACTGGGATCCTTTGGTTTATCTGCCATGTGGCAGACATTTTTTTATTCTTACATGTTCTACTTAGGAAACTAAATATTCCAAGACCTGGAGGAAAATAATGGACCAGTGTTATAAAATTGCTTACCTTATCTTTTTGCTAAAAGAAATCTTTCAAAATTGCCTTTGTTTCATTTTTCCTCTTTCAAGGCTTTAAGTTTTATATAAACTAAGCAATAAATGCTTTTAAGATTCCTTCTGAGATGCTTGATGATGCTGACCTAGATATTTTCACGTATGTGTTTATGACCCTAATTTCTGGAACTAACTCCCAGTACTATTTCTTCCACACTGAGAGCTTTTGGCTATTATGTGCTAAAGAAAGAAGATGAAATCCTCTTATGTTGTTGATATCAAAAYGAAGAGATGCTTTTATTTTCATAATATTTTTGGAATGTCCAAATTAAGAAACTTTTTTTTCCTTTCCTGGAGTTTAATCTTTAGGAAGAAAAGAAGGAATTAAATATCCAAGGAAAGCTAATTTTATTTGCTTTTTTAATCCTCCTGTCTTCCAAACCCTGCAAGGGCATCGTTCTGAAGATCTCTGACATTGACCTATCAGAGATTGCTGGGTTAATTTGACACTGGTTTTCAGAGATGTGAAGGAACTTTGAACAAGAAACTTTCCTTCTGTCTCATAGTGATCTTGAAATATTTGCTATGGAATCACAGAATGCTAATAGTTTTGGCAAGTCTTTGCAGTTTTGTTTTTTATTTTTTTTTTAAATTTTTCTATCCTACAACAAAAAGAAATCTTGGAGAACACGCCAGCCCAGAGGAAATGCTATTGTATAGATTTCAAGGTGGAGCCGTGAGGTCATGAAGAGGAGGCAGTGAGGTTTACAGACAACAGTCTCATGGCTTAGGCAGTTCAAAACACCAAGGATTAAAATTGCTCATTAGCCCTGGACCTTATTAATACTTAATTCATGAAAAAAAGACAATATTTTTCAAATTTATAATTAAAGCTTCAGGTATAAGTTTGAAAGGCTGCAAGGTATTCTGAGCGAATGACTAGACCTATTCTTGCCATAGACTTTATGATCCAAAAATAATCCATGCCTACTAAAGACTCCTACCACAGASTTGGCATGTCTTTTGTTCTGTAGGATGTCAGGAGGGCTAAACTATGTGTCTATGGATAGGATGCATGAAATTGGGGATATGGTCACCATTTAATAATAATTAACAATTGAGCAATTAATTGTGAAGCCCATTTTATATAAAATTAAGTATGTTATAGATTCTATAGCTGTATGAAATGTATAGGTAATGTTTGTCATTGATCTGTCACAGTAAAGTCCCAATCTGATCTACAAGTTTTAATGAATAGTGCAAAGTAACCCTCATTGTCATATTTCAGATCAAAGAAGAAATATTTTGACCAAATGACAAATAAAATACAGATAATCAGATACAGTCTTGATCAAGGCATGGGCCAATCAGGGGTGCTATGGATAATTCTTGACAGAAAGCCCAGTCCCCATGCCACCTGTCACACTTGCACCACATCAGTGTATCTTTCCTTTCTTTACCCCCACTGTATTAGGCTTTCCTCTTCATCTTGTTCCTTGTGTCTCTCCATTCTATGTGGCCCATAAACCAAMCTTTTTAAACTACCATTCAGATTCTGTGAATTTGGAATTTTTTACTCCAACTTAAAATACTCCACTCACATTCCAGTCCCAGATGGGATCTAGGACCTTGTTTATATATCTCTCCTGGCACTTCTTAAGTGTCATATGCTACAATCATCTGTGTATTTGTTTAATTTCTACTTAGTATTAYAAATACTTTGTAGACATTCTAGCTAAAGAGGCAAAATTTAAACAAAATCATCAAAAATGGAAGCAGGCTAACAAAAAAAATACAATAGAAATGCTAAATATGACTTTTTTTCTTACTACTTTTGCTTTTTACAAGGCACATAATAAAATAGCTTGCCCAATAGGAACTCAATATTGTTGTGTCACTAAATTCTTGATCTCTTTTACAAGGGGTTGTGGTTCACTCAGTATTGGGTTTTAATCCACGTAACTTAGGTAAGTTATTTAATTTCTCTGTGCCTTAGTTTCATTTCTATAAAATAGGTATCATGCTAGTCACCACAAAACCTGAGGTTTTGTGGGTGTTGAATGAATCAATACATGTCAAGTGTTTTTGCCTCCTCCCTGGCACATACTGAGTATATATAATACACCACRTTCTGGTAGTTGTTGATGTGATTATTATTTATAGTTCCTTGAGATAAGGGATCATGTCTCCTTTATCTTTGTATTGGATTAAAGGTATAGTATATTCTGTAGGGATGAATGAAGTGTTGATAGTTTCACAAAGAAAGTGATAAATGAAAATGAGCCCTTTAGTGTCAAAAATGTGTAGGTTTTAGAAAAATTGGGTGCCTGGGCTTCCAGGCAGGGAAATTATGAACAACCACAAAGATGAGAATTAGAAAAACTCAGAGGTGGGAGAAAGATCAGAGGCCACATGTAGGGATATTATAAGAAAGAAGAAAGACTTGACAATTATTGACATGGTCCAGGCAAAGTCTGGGCTCACTCTTCTAGAGTGAAAGGGCAATAGAGCACTAATGGATGGCGGACAGATTTTGGGGGAAGTAATGAGAAGCAGTAATGAGACTCCAAAACTCCCCAGCTGTGTTGTGATGAGCATCTGGACTAAACATGAGGACAGTGACAATGAGGTGTCAAATTCAAGGGAGAAGAGAAAAATAACTGTTGAAGGTAAAAGTGCAACACAGTCTCACTATTTCTGAGCCTCAAAAGTTGAAATTTCTGATACTATGTTTTAATCAGGAAAACATTTTGAATACTATCTCTGAAAAAGTATATAATAGCAAGCAAAATTTATTATTTGGTAGGATAAAAAAGTTCTGAAACACTGAATAACTTTACAAGAAATAATAATTTGACCATCTTACCTGTAAGCATTTCCATGTAAATATATGACATGCATTTTAATATTATAACATTAGTCTGTATTTGTTGTAAAGAGATAGAGCATAATGCCTACTACAGTGATATGTGACAAGTTATTTACAAGAAATAATAATTTGATCATCTTACCTGTAAGCATTTACATGTAAATATATGACATGCACTTTAATATTATAAAGTTAGTCTGTATTTTTTATAAACCTTTAATAGTTCTGACTCGGAAATATATTATTCATCTTATTCTATGTAATAGATGCTTTTAAAAGCAAAGTGGTATTTAGTTTTTGCCTACTTTTAAACATTCTCTAATGCAAACTGTGGCTCTTGATTGATTACATTGGATAGGTTATTTTTAATGGTACTGATTCAAATTATCAGAAAATGTTGCAGACATTGTCAAAGAAGTTTATGATCACTATGATACTTGCAAGCATTTGGGCCACATCTTAACAGAACTTTATATGTTGTGTCTGCCTCTCTGTTCCTCTCTCTCTCTTTCTCTATGGGTGTGTGTAGATACATATATATATAAAAATTTATATTAATTTATAATAATATATGAATTCTGATTCAAAAAGGAAATATATATAACAAAAATTAATAGCATTATGTGTTTAAGGATAGAAAGACATTCCTCCTACTTATTTAATTTATATTATGTTCAGTCACCACAGAAGCCAAATTGCTTTTTTGTTTTCATTTGACATCCAGTGATAGAGCACAATGCCTGTTTCAGTGATACGTGACGAGTTCTGAGAACTCCATGTAGGCTCAGCTGTTTCCCCAGAGTAGAGGGGTTGAGGAGTGAGTTCCAGGGAAAAGATTAGTCATGTGGTGAACAATGGTGATCTCTTATTCTTCCCTTATTCTCAAGAGTTGCTCTTTATACCATACATGACATTAAATAAATATCAAATATTTGCACACCCTAACTTTCTTATTAGTGAATAGTTTCTTAAAAGAGAGATAGAGGATCATTGTGATTGATAGTTTCAGGTGCATTTTTTTTGGGGGGGGTGCACAATGGGTTTGACTGTGCCAGGTTGGCCAAACCATGTAACTTCTCAGGCCCTGGCTGTTTCATTTATAAACCAGAGGAAAAGGCTTTAGGTGACCTCCAAGGACCTTTCAGCTGCAGAGAAGAATTTGTGGAAAGTTCACAGCATTTAGAAAACAGAACTAAGACACCCATTGGCACTCCTGGAAGCTTGAGAGTGCCAGATCCTATTTGTAATACAGGAATGGAATGTCTGATTGATCGTATGAAATTGAATTCTAACTGAACCAGTTTGTTAAGTTCGATTTTCTTTAAAATTAAAGTAATACTCAGCTCATTGCCTTATGCTAGACAATAAACTGTGAACAAAAGACCTATAGAATTTCTGAATGGTAACAAATCCACCACACTTAAAACTTTTGGATGCCTAATTCCAACAAACAGTTTTATTCCTTCATAATCGTGAATATGTATCTATTTTAAATAAAATTAATTCATATATATTACAAATTAATATATATATAATATGTGTTATAAATAATATTTGCTAAGTAGTTTATATAAATTATTAGACTGTTATGAATAAAAGTTAAATAAACCATTTATTAAATTATTATAAAGAACCAGAAAAGTTTTACTAGGTTGTCAGTGTTATTCTTCAAAAGACTATGATACTTGTAAGCAGTTAGGTCACATTTTAATAGAACCTCCCCACACCCTTTGAGGCAAAACAAAACAGCTGGTAGAAGCGGTTTTTCAAAATGGAAGAAAATAACATTTATGTGGAAGTCCAAATCTGACTTTGATTTTTTTAATATTTTTACTTCTTATTTTTACTTTTGCCCACTCATTCATTCTAGCAACATTTATGACATTATATATTATGTCCAAATCTTATGACAGGAAAGAGATTAGCCACGTGGTGAACAATAGTGATCTCTTTATTCTTTCCTGAGTCTTGGGAATTAATACAGGGTGTACAGGCTATCCAACAAAGTTATAATGTAATAGGAGAGATGGATATTAAAAACAAAATGCCCACAGATGTATATTTAATCTTGGTATTTTGAGAAGGTTTATTTAGTTTTGAAATAAGAAAGACATCCTAAGGAAAAAAAAATTAATTTGAAATCTAAAGGATATAGTTGTCCCTGTGTTGAATATAGAGGATGAGATTCCTAAGCAGGGAAAATGAAATATATGAAGAAGCTGAGGAATTGAAAGAATGCCAGAGTGGCTGGAGTGACAAAAGGAAAGGGAGTAGAGAAGAGCACTAGATGAAGGAAGTAGAAGAGGCTAAGTCACATACCGWCTTGTAGGCCATCTATAGGATGGTATATTTTGCCCTGAGTGCGATGAAAAGTCATTTTTAAAGGGTTAATGAAATGATACAGCTTATACTTGTAATGTCTTGCTTTAGTTGCTAAGAGAGACTGGAATGGATGGGAAGTAGGAACATAATGGCATAAATCAGGACGCTCTTACAGTGGTCCAGAGAGAGATACTGATGGCTTGAACTATTCAATAGCAGTGCAAGTTGAGAAATAAATAGATTTGACATACAATTTTGCAAAAAAAAATCATAGTACTGATTACTAATTTCATTTGGGAAGATCAGGGGGAAAGATAACTCATGGATGAGTCTCAAGTTCCTGGACTGAGGAAATGAAGATGTCATATACTGAGATGAGAAGCATAGAGATGGAGCAAAATCCAGAAGAAAGGTGGTACTTTCATTTCAGGAAACATGGAAACGAAAGAGGCAGGATCCCTGTTTGTAATCAAACCTTGCATTGCTATGGCACTTTTGCAAGCCACAATTCTTTTAATAACTGTCTGCTTTGAAGCTATAACCCCTTTGGCCTCTATCCACAGTCTTCCAAGRTAATGGTGTTATTCTATCTGGCCAAAGTAAATATTTCTGTTGTGGCTTCCTTTGAGTGTATAAGCCTCCTTCAAAGTTATGAAAAAGGCTATAGCACATTTGAAGCTCTTCAACTCAGGCCCTCACAGGAAGAGGAAGCTAATAACCCCAGAGAAACCGAGCCTCTGGCTAGAGGGATGATTGCTGTGTTTAAATAAAAGTATGCTCCTAAGCCCTGATGAGCTTTTCATGCACCCCTGTCCAACCTTTAATCTTTGCTGGCTCCAAATYGAGTTGGGGATGGAGGACTAGCCTAGCTCCAAAAGGACTTGAGGCATCTTGTTCCGATGGTGAGGAGCACAGATTTGGAGACAAACACAGCTGCCTGGGTTTGAATTCCAGTTTCTATTACCTACTTGCTCATTGGCCTTGATCAAGTCACTCAACTTATTTTCCAAGCTGCTGTTTCTTTATATGCAGTAATGGGCTTTATCTCATTAGGTTGATATGAAGATAGAATGAGAAAWAATGTAATGAATCTGCCCAAGGTGTGGCACATGGTAAGCCTGCTACAAACGGGAGCTCTGTGTCCTGCCACTTGGTCGAGATAACTTTTCTGCAGCATTTGATATGTTGTCTGATACTTGGTTGGACAACACAGTTCTTAGTTCCTTCCTTCTCAGTAAGCCTAGAAATGTTCTAAATCAGGAACTGCAATATAAAAAGAAATAGATTAAAAATCTTAAATTCTGTTGGCAAGCTTTTGAACTCTTGTTACTAAATAGACCCAATTGCTAAAATAATGAATTGATTCAAATTCTCAGGACCGTTTCTTGTTTAGTTCTCATTAGTTTGTCAGAATTCTTCAAAAATGTCTTTGTCTACTCTCTTTAGCTTATTTGTACATTAGTTTCTTTAGCTTATTTGTACATTAGCATGGAGGTGGATGCACAGATATATCCATTGCATATCTTATGATGTTATGGGTCATACATTCATCTCATATTCACCTCTGCAGAGAAATGTCGGTATCCCTCAGAAAGGTGATTTTAATATAGGTCAGGAGACGTCCACAGTAAGACTTCTGGTTGCCCTCTCTAGAAATTTCCTGAGATATTTAGCAATAACATTGTTCTTTAGGCCATAAATTATGCTCCCAAAGATTAGCCTCTAATATGATTCTCCTTGAAATTGATTACATTGGGGAGAATGCATTCTTTCTGCCTGAGAGGTACAGCCACCATAATCTGGAGCCAGCTTGTCTTGTGTGGTTCCTTACAGATTACATGGGCACTGAGCAGACTGTCTTAGTCTAAAACAATTTGTGAAAATTGAGACTCTGAGAAATTTAGTTCTAAATTCACCTTAGTGAGTGTCATCAATCAAAGGCAAAAGGAAAGAAAGTTATTCTAAACGTTAACATAAAATTATTTTCTCAGCTGAACTATATGTACAAAGGGATAATTATTATTATTTATATTGTCGTTATTATTTATTACATGAGCATTTCCTAGCGAAACAGTGATTTTCTTTTATGACATAAGCAAACCCAAATAGACAGTGATATGGCAAGTAAAGTGTCACAAGGAGAAAGCTGTGCATTGCTTCTTACAGGGAATTAGACTCATTTCTCACCTCACCTAGATCAGTCTCATTTGTCTTCCTTCTGTAACACACATGAAGTTTATCAAATATTTGATTTCTACTCTTTCATCATCAATTCCTAACTATGGTCATCTCCTGTTTGGTGGTGAAAATAGAGATGTGCCTTGATGTGTAGACCAGACATACATGTGGGTCTGAATAAATGCCTGTAAGTTCYAGCATTTTCAAAATCCCTTAGGAARCTAGATTTATCAAAGAAATCCAAGGAAAATACATTAACAATATAGGAATGTGCTCTGACAAGTTAATTATAACTCATAAACTTAATGTTTTTAAACTTCAAAATTTTATATTATTTTTGCTTATAATAAGGAATATTTCTAGGAATAAAAAATTTTAATTTTCCACAACTTACAATGATCTCAACTTCTTTATTATAAGAACTTTGGGACATCAGAGAAATGTTCATAAGAGGCTTTAAATATTGCTATAATTTTTTATTAACAAATGGTACAAATCAGGTATAATAAAATGTTAAAATTTAAGAAAACCAGATGGTAAATACATGGATGTTTGATACATTGTTTTAAGATATTTTTTTTCCTGTGATGCATTTCACATTAAAATAAAGAAAAAGTGAAAAGATATTTAGATCATTCATGTTTTCTTCTTTATTGTTATAGAAAGTATTTATCTTTTCTGGAACATTTAGAAAAAACTTGGATCCCTATGAACTGTGGAGTGATCAAGAAATATGGAAAGTTGCAGATGAGGTAAGGATGCTAACTCAAAAAATTTTGAAAGTGGTAGTTCATACATGTAAAAGAATGGTTGTCATAACTGAGATAATTTTATGCAATCACCTCTGTGTTTGTGTGTGTGTGTGTGTGTGTGTGTGTGTGTGTGAGTGTGTGTGTGTATGTGAATGCGCACGTGAGTATACACAATTTTAACAGGAGTATCCTAATCTTCCTGGAGCACCTTATATTTTGGATTTAACCCATTTCTCTCTTCCGGGGACTCAGGTCCTTTCTCAGTACATTTAGGTTAATAAAATGCCATAGACTGTATGGCATATATACAGCATAAATTTATTTCTCACAGTTCTGGAGGCCAGAAAATCCAAGATCAAGGTATCAGTAGTTTTGATGCTAGTAAGGAAGTGCTTCCTGGTTCATAGATGGTGGCTTCTTTCTGTGTAGTAGAACAGGTGAATGATCTCTCTGGGAGTTCTTTACAATAGCTCTAATCCCATTCACAAGGGCACTGTCCTAATGACTTAAGCATCTTCCAAAGGTCTCACCTCCTACTGCCATGATGTTTGAGGTTAGAATTTTGACATATAATATTTTTAAAAGACCAAAAACTTAGACCTAGAATTCCCCTTGTTCCCCCAAATACATGTTATTCTCATATACAAAATGCACTTATTTAAATAACCCCAAATGTCTTAATCATTCTAGCATCAACTTAAAAATATAAAGCTGGTAGTCATCTAAAAGATATATATATATATATATATATATATATATATATATAGTGAGACTTAAGATATGATCTGACCTTAAGTAAATTGTTTTCTACATATACACCTATAGAATCTGACCTTGTATATGCTTTCAGAATAAATTTGATGGGACAGGAATATGATAGACATTCCCATTCCAAAAGGGAGAAGTATAAAAAAAAAAGGAGTGCCAAGAAAAATAATCTTCTTTGGTTCAATGCTATGTGCCCTGCAGGCTCACTAGGTAGGTGTCCCACCTTTCAGACACACTAGTATGGAGACCCTACCCCCATGGCATTGACAGCTCACTCCTGTGGTGGCTCTGTACCTGAATTCTGTGCCTGTGACTCCCTCGKGCTAGAATCTAGCTGGTAGATGATAGATGATTCTAGCCTGAGGGAGTTACAGGTGCCACTTTATAGGAAGGATGGCCTTTCCTCCATTATCTAATACGGTATTCCTCATTTGTGACTGAGAAATTATCCAAATGGCCTCTACCATACATATTTCTTTTTKTTTATTTTTATAAATTTATATATGACAGCAGAATGCATTACAATTCCTATTATACATACAGAGTACAATTTTTCATATCTCTGGTTGTATACAAAATAAATTCACACCAATTCGAGTCTTCAAACATGTACTTTGGATAATAMTGATCATCATATTCCACCACCATCCATATTTCTACTCACATTTCATYCATGTAAAATCTGACCTTTTGTGTGCTTCCAGAATAAATTGATGGGACAGACATATAATTATCTTTAAGATAATTATAGTTTTCTTTGCAATTTCCCCCTCTCCCTCACCAGTATAACCTCCAATGGGCCACTGGCAACCATGTGAACTTTCTCTCACATGCACCTCGAACCTCTTCCAGCCTCTATTCATTACCCAGTTCCAAAGCTGCCTCCACATTTTTAATATTTCTGGCAGCAGCATTCCTCTGCTAGGACCAATTTTCTGTCTTAGTCTCTTGGAGCTGCTAAAAAAAATACTATAGCCTAGATAACACAAAAACAACAGATATTTATTTTTCATAGTTTTGAAGTCTGAAAAATCCCAAATTAAGGCCCAGGCAGATTCAATATCTGGTGAGGGCCTGCTCCCTCATAGATGGCTGGGTTTTCGCGGTGTCCTTACAGGGCAGAAGGSGTAAAGGTAGGTCTCCAGAGCCTCTTTTGCAAGAGCACAAATCCAAATCATGGATTGAGGCTAGTGTCCTTATGACCTAGTCACCTCCAAAAGGCCTCATCCCCTAACACCATCACTTTGGGGGTTAGAATTTCAACATAAATATTTCAAGAGGACACAAGCATTCAATCTATAGCAGAACCCATAGATAACATTACTTGGAAGTAATTTGCTTCAGAGACATGATCCAGGAAACACTCAAGCACCTACTGTGCCCTGGGATTACCCTTGATCACCTCTCCACATTTCTCATGTACCCCGTAAGTTCTGAATCCCTCACAGCATAAGGAGAAGGCTGTAATTTGACAGGATACACTTCCCTGAGAAGTATAGGTTTACAGAGATGATGCTCATTCTAGAGCTCTTGAGAATGACTAGAATCTTCTCTGAAAATTAGCAGGAGTCATCTGCTTTCAGAAGATGTGGTATTGAGCACTTCTATGCAAAATGCCACTTGACTTAGATGAGGCTTATGCCATCTCTTTAAGTCATGAGGATGCCTTATAGGAAATGTATCAATTAAAAAGGAATCAAAATATTTAAATAGCATTCTATGCTTCTTCAACAGATGACTGATTAAAATTGAAAGCATTATACAGATGAATTGGTGAATGGGGAGAACTAGTTAAATTCCTGATCCCTTTATCAGAACACCCTCTCTATAAACAGATAATTTCTTGAAAGAACTATAGCTATTATGTTAARGAGAAATAGACCATAAATTGCTCTCTTTTGTTAAACTTGAAGTTTCATTCCATAGAACTAAATGGTGGCAGAATAGAATCATGAGATCCAAGATTGTGGAGACTCAAAGGTCTTTTTAGAGAACAATTTCATAGTACTATTTCCTGTACTTTGGTCCTTCTCACCTGATTTCTGTTTATCCTAAATCTCTTCCCTTTTCTGCCTCCCTTCTAAGTAGACCTTGCCAGGAGCTTTGTAATGTCTCTGAGTGCTAAACACTTACCCGTTGAGTGCCCAACCTTAACATGCCCCTAATAAAATGTACTTAGATTAACCATTTTCATTATCAAAGTTTCCTTATTACCCAACAAATGCAGGGATTTTAAAGAAAACATTAACTAAATTGCAAGTGACACATTTTAAGACCTTTGATGTGACTTCAGAGATTTAACTATAGGAACACAGTGTGGTGGGAGAGAACTTAGGAAGTAAGACATTAGACTTTATAAAATCTGCTAGTAATGCCAAGTTACAATAAAGTTTACAGGGAAGCAGGATCATAAACTAATCTAAAATTTTAGAAGACGTGGTTAAAACTTAAAAGTACTCCTATAATATAGATATTTACATGTTCACATTTTTATTTGATTGTTCATATTTAGGTTTGTCTTTTTGCTGATATTCTTTTATTAAATAATTTGCTGTTCATAAGCAAAGACGATGATGATATCCTAATCTTAATGTGATATGCTTTGAGTTTTAGTGACACATTTTTGTCCAAGAAGCCCAAAGGCAGCAAATAAGCAGTAGCCCAGAGAAGCAGAAAAAGGATTGAAGTTTAAAGATTATAAGGCCCAAGTTTTAGTCCTATATGGTTGATCATATTATCATGTGCAAACAGTAACATTTTTGGATGTGTCAGACCAGAAACTGGACAAGAACCTGGAACCTGGTTTATTCATTAGACTGCAGCTCCATCCACTTTGCAGCCCTGGTGAACTTTCTAAACCCTACTTCTGATTACTTGTCTCTTTCCTTCATATATATGGATCCTTATTGCCTGCAGGACCAAGTCTATACTGTTTAAAGTGGATTACAGGGACCTCTATGGTGCGGTCTTTGCCTCTCTAATTTTGCTTTCCAATGAGGCCTGCTTTCCATGATTCAGCTATTCTGAATTTCTCTGGATTCTTTAAAGCACTGAGTACACTCTGATCTCCAGGGGCTTTTTCACGTGCTGTTTTGTGACCTAGGAAACCCACCCAGCCCTTTGTGGCTTCTTTCTACTCCTAATTTCAGGACTCTCCTTACACATCTCTTCTAGAAATTTGCCTTCATGCTTCAGGTCCAAGAGAGAAGCCTTTCCTAAGCATATTCTATACCTCCACCTATCTCATAGCACTCCTCATGGCAGATAGAGATTTACCTCTCATCTTGTCCAGACCACCTACCCTACATGGTACCAAAAGTTCCTCGGAGTCAGATGTTGTATCCTATTCAGTGTGGTATTTCCAGTATCAAAAGGAGTGTTAGACAAATAGATAGTGTTCAATGAATATTAATTGAATGAATGAATGAATGTATAAAGAATTCTTCCATTTCACATGGAAACAGCTTTGTGATTGATATGCAACAAGTATGATCATCCCTACTTTAGTGATGAGCATCCTGAGCCTTGAGAAATTCAAGGGTCTTGCTGGGATTGCTGGCAGATGCAGGACCAGAGCCACAGCCTTGACTTCTGGGTCCCAGGCTGTTTTTCATGTTAGTGTTATTCATAATCTAAGTACTATGGCTGTTMGTTTTTATTTATTTATTTATTTTTGTGGTGATCATTTGCTTTTTAGCTTACTTTATAGAAGTTTTCATCTTTACACATTGATAGTCTGGTAAGCCATTTTAGAAGAAAACTAAATAGCAAAAATAGTGGCCTTTTCAGTGAAAAATTTGTCCAGGGAGGCCTGCAGAGTAGGAACAAAAGGAGTATCAAAAGGAGTTAAAAGTGTTTATTTTTATAAACACTAATGGACCCTTCAGTTAAATTTCAGTTCATGTTTCTGATTTTTTTAATGTTCCTGACACAAGACAAACCTCTTGCTCCATAATAGCATTCCAGTGTGCACCAATAGCAAAAGCATTTTGAATAAAATACTTGGTCCTTTAYAGACTGTTAAACATTTTTTTTGATATTTCAAAAAATACTGCTTAATTAATAGGAGTTTGGGAAGTACATGTAATTTAGTAGTTCAGTTCAGTAGTAACCCTGTTACTATTGGCATCGTTTAACTGAATACTATTGTAGTACTTTTTGCTAATTTATCAGCACATATACTTAGTTGGTAACTATAACTTAGAAAGTTCTTTTGATGTATGGCTCCTTATTGATGTGTGTATGTATGTATTTATTTTTAAAGCTCTGTTGGGTAGAATGAAAATAATTAAAAACTTCTAGATTCTAATTGTTTTGAATTCATCTTGGCTTGGGAAGAATTAAGCTAAAGTTTATATTTATTTTTAACCATTTGTAAAATCATTCGTAATGATAGTATTAAAAAGATGACATTGGAATAGAGGTTTGTTTATGCATGCATTATACATGCATAAATGTGTGTGCATATGTGTGTGTGTGAGAGGGTGATTCTGCTGTTAAATATCACTAAATTAATAACCTGTATAATAATTTCCATTTCAGTCTTGTTTGCCCATATTGTTCTTTGCCCATAATTCTTGAACAGTAATTTCACACTAATTATTTTTCTCCTCATTCAGACTATGCRTTTCTTCAAAGTAGGTCCTAGTGTTATTGATCTTTGAATTCCCAGGTCTGTCATAGTACCTCAAATTTAATAAACTCTTATTAAGAGTCTATTGAAGAAATACAAGATTAAGCAGTCATTTAAATTCAGATGACCAGTAAACACATTCAAACCATTCTTATCAGCACTATCTTTGTATCTTTTCAAACCAATTGCCAGTCTATCTTGTTTCTTATTTTCTCTCCAAAGTCTATCACGATATTTGGCAGAAAATAGAATCTCAATGTTCATTAACTGCAAAAAGTTGTCACTAAATTATGTTGAATTTTCTCTGGTAACAATGATTCTAAAAGATTTTTCCTGTCCTTCACAGTGAACAAAATAGTGAGATAGTATTGTTGCACAATACCTAGATTGGGCAGTCTTCCCTAACATTCATTTTTAAAATTCTGTTCTCTAAATATTGACAGTGATATATGTTTAAGTATTATTTACTTGTAGTAAAGAACATACTTTGATCAGCTTTTACCACAGGCAAGTACAAAGTATAGCATAGTAAAATAGCTTTTCTAGTGTGGTGTTAGGAAATTAGTATATGATCTATGTGAATCTAGAGAGAGACAACTCCACATTTACCCAAATTCCAGCTCCTTACTATGGGCATGATTTAACTGAATACTGTTGTAGAAGTTTCTGCTAACTTACTTTCTGAGGCCACTTGTGAAGAGAAAACCTTGGAACCTCATTGTCACACTCATGTAGTGTTTCTTCTCCAGAGCCTGCATTCTTGGGATTTTCCAGGCTCTGCTAGTAGTTGCCATAGGTTAGGTAACCACAGCTCATGTGCGCTATACTCTATAGAAACCTCTTTCCACCAATAAGCCCAGTTAATCATAATAACACTTCATGATCAATACTATTATTTACACCTTTTTACATGCAAGGTAAATAACAAAATAACATGCCTCACATTGTGAGCAAATAAGTGGAAGTTCAAAACCAATTCTGTTTCATTTCTCTGCTTCAGTCTTTAACCATTAGTTTCCTTGTTGTTTGTCTACAAAAAATACCCATTCATATGTAAATACATAAATATATAAATAAAGCTTCAAATCCTACTGACTAAACACCTATTTATTGATCTGAAATAAAGTAACAACTTCTCTATCAGTTTTAGGTAACTTCTATTTTTATAATTTGTTTTGGGGGGTTTTATCAAGTCTTACAAGACTTACAAGCAAATTGATAAGCTTTAGATCACACTACGTATAGCAGAGCTGAAACCAACACTCATCCATTCACCCTTAAGTTTTGTTTCATCAAATCTCTGTTTGGTTTGGATGAGGAATTCTAGGAGCTCAGTACATATTTGTTGAATGAATGAGTAAATGTGTTGAGGCTGACAGTGAGCTGAGCTGAAGAGCTCGTTTTTTACCTTCAAGAAGCTTACTGTCTTACAAGAAAAGTTGCACAAATACTATCATAAGTAGATGCCTGGGTGCCCTAAGGGATGATAAGGGGTATTACTTTAGATTAAGCAATAGCACAAACCTGAGAATATCAAGGTTATAGGAAACTAAAAACTGGTTCTGCTGGAACAAGTGCAGAGAAGGCTTTATTCTGGATGCCTTGTGTGCCATGTGAGAACCTTATATTTTATTCTGCTAAGAAGACAACTACTGTAGGATTTAAGACAGAGAAAATTATGGTCAAACCTGCATCTTAGGGAGATTTCTGGAGTGTTCACATGATGGATTGATACTTCAATCAATTGATATTTGTGGTGTGATGCTGAAGAAATTATGATGGTCCAGACTAGGTCACTGTAACAGAGGTGGCATGGAAGAGAAGGATTTTAGAAGTATTTGGATAAAGTCCAAGACTGCAGATAAATATGTGAAAATTGTTAGCTTATTGATACCCTGAAAATGACTGAAATCTTAGAGGAGAATCGGGCAAGTTGGGATGGAAATTAATATTCCGGGGACAGAAAAAGAGGAAGTTGTCCACACATAATAATAAGAAATGACCATGGTGTAATTTCTCAGATGCCAAGGCAAAATGTTTCAGAAAGGAAAATCTTCTGTGGTATAGGGCGACATATACATACTAAATTTTTKAAATATCTGGATGACAAAGTGGGTAAATATTGAATGATTGCCAAAGGAGACCCTGGTGGCAAATGAGGATTTTGCTTTTATTTTAAGAGGGAAAGACCATAGCAGATTCACAGGCAGAAGCAATAAAAAGCAAGATGTGGCAGACAGAAAGAATACAGGTCCTGTAACTGCCTGATATACTTTATTCATGTTCTTAGATACTTGCACCCCAAAGTAGTTTTATGTTGGAGCCTGCAGAAATACATCAGAGTAATCATCTTTGTCTAATTAACATGTTTACATTGCCTACAATCTCAGAAACCCTTTTCAACCTTTAATGAATTCTCACAAATTGAGATTGTCTTAATGAGAAATTACTCAGGGAAAGCAGTATCACCAGCAATACACATCATGAGCACACAGACTTTGCTGAATAAACAGCAATGTGGGGCATTTCTGGTTTCATCTCTGAAAACATGAAATTTTTTCTTAAGACCATTATATAATTTTTCCTGTATTATAGTTAGGTGTTGACATATCTTGCTCCTCATACCAAATTCCAGATTCCTCAAGGGTAGGAGACAATCATCTCTGTATCTTAGGTCCTTTCTCCTCAGCAATTCTTGGCAGTGAAGAAACATTTAATGTACATTTATTAAAAAAACTGATATGATCCAAGACTTCAATATTTTTTGTCTTATTTTGATAGGATGGGTTTTTATACCCCATTTGTTTTTCCAAGTAGGCGTTTTTTTTTCTTACAGTTTTTATGAATTAAAGAGACGAGTAGTAAATTGCCGCATGTAATTTTAATAATCTTTTATTMCCTTTTATGGTAGAGTGGAAATGCAAGGTGGCATCCATGTCATGTCATACCTTCTAACCCTTTATGCTGTCTTTTATCCTCTATAGGACTAGCTGCACAGGGATGCCATGATAGACTGAATAACTGATTTCTGTACATATCATCTTTCCCAGCCTGTATTCAATTGTGTTGTAATTAGAATAKACAATTTAATAAATCCTGAGCCCTGAAGGAGCCATCTGCCATTTATTATTTCCTCAGTGCTTGTGAGAGTACCTGGACCTTAAGTAGGTACTCACTGAAATGTTCTTGAATGAAGGTGGTACCAGGCTCAAACAAGTGTTCAAGTGATCCTTTATTGCTGCCAAGATTATAAATAGACTTTTGGTCAATCAGGCCCAAATAGTGTGAGTTCGGGTGGAGTTGATATGAAACTGAAGCTTTCAGAACTCTCATGTGTATTTTTAGATTTTCACACTCTTGGGAGATTTTTAGCCCTGTATTGTCTCAAGTACCCTTTCAAAACAGTGTTTTCTCTCTTTCCTGCAGGTYGGACTCCGATCTGTGATAGAGCAGTTTCCTGGGAAGCTTGACTTTGTCCTTCTGGATGGGGGTTATGTGTTAAGCCATGGCCACAAGCAGTTGATGTGCTTGGCCAGATCTGTTCTCAGTAAGGCAAAGATCCTACTGCTTGATGAACCCAGCGCTCACTTGGATCCCATGTGAGTTTCAGAAACCCTGATCCTTARTAACACTGTGGGAATAGAATCATTGAGAGCTACCTTTGTATCAGATGTATACAAATTCCCATAAGGTTGCCATGTCTGCAAGTGGGGAACCCCCCTCTCCCCAATACTAAATAATTGCCCAATGGAAAAGTCACTATTTGGTGTGAGCACAAATGCTTATTTCCTTGATAAGAACTTTGGGTTCTCTTATTAATGTGATTTGGAATTTCATACAAACACTTCCATCTTGTCAACACAAGACCATTAGAGACATGGTCCTGCTCTGATCCTYATGATTTTTTCCTTTATCCCATTTATACCATAAATATTTTAATGTAAAAAATAATGAAGAACTGCTGTTGATTCTAACAATGAAAAATCACTTATTTATGAAATTTTCTTCAAAATATTTGTCCTATTTACTTATGGGTACTTTAACATCTACCCATGTAGTTGGAAAGCTGATTGTAGTTAACTCTAGACCAGTGCTATATTAAAAGTATTGAAAGAAAGAAGTGATTTAGTCAGGCTTGGTGGTGCTTGCCTGTAATCCCAGTGGCTTAAGAGGCTGAGGCAGGAGGATCACAAGTTCAAAGCCACCCCCAGTAACTTAATGAGACCCTAAGCAACTTAATAACACCCTGTCTCAAAAAAAAAAAAAAGGGTGGGGATACAGCCCAGTGGTTAAACACCCCTGGGCTCAATCCCTGGTATCAGAAAAAAAAAGTGATTTAAACTACATTGATTGAATAATAGGCATGTTATCAAAGATAAAGGCACATTTTCCATATTCTGTGAAGTGGTATGCAAACATTCTGTATGTGGTATTTTCTTTCTTTTCTAGAACATACCAAATAATTCGAAGAACTCTGAAACAAGCATTCGCTGATTGCACAGTAATCCTCTGTGAACACAGAATAGAAGCAATGTTGGAATGTCAACGATTTTTGGTGAGTCTTTATACATTTACTTAAGATCTCATTTCTCTTGTAATTCTTGATAACAATCTTGCATGTGATACTGCAAATTGCAACAGTGTACAAGTTCTTACTTAAAACATGTGTCAAAAAATCCCTCAGACTTCACTCAAAATAGCTGCACAAGTTTTTCACTTTGAGTTGAGCTATGAGTTGAGGTTGAAATTCAGTACTCCTAAAACAATGGCATGTGACCAAGTTACATTAATTAATAAATCTGATACCTATGCTTTTTGAGGCCTTTAACTAGAGACCAAATCATGAAAAGTACTCTACCATTAAAAAATAAAAAGTCTTTCTGWCTCTTTCAATAACAATCTCCCTTGGATAGGATGGGGACAGGCCTGTTTGTCTTATAATTTGATTTGTGGTTTTAGTGTGGTAGTTGAAAGACTTATTTCTCTGATTATATTTAGGGCTCAGGGTGCCTTTCTCAATCCCCTTCTCAATGTGCTTCCAAAACTGTCACAGATGYCCGTCAAGTGTTGTTTACAAATTCTCTTGGGTTTAGTCACAAGGAAGTTCTGAGGATAATATATCATGTCATTTTTGTTAAGGCTTTTGAGCCCTCAGGAGGTAAAATGCTCTCCTTACTGGTGGGTTTTTATTATCATTATTATTAAAAAGCTTGAAAATGACAATTTAGGGAGCAGACAACCTCTGTCTTTCATAGACAAGTTCAGGTTGGGTTAGGCCCTCTATTCCCTGGCCTTGAGTTTACTTTAACATGCAACAGTAGCATATTAAACTCCTGACCAATTTGGAATTGTTAAGCTTCAGGTCCACTGTTGAAGAAGTTCGGTATTTTATGGTGCTGTGCATTTAACTCACTTACAAAGTATGTAAAGAATCTCTGATAAATCTTTCTTGTTTTCAAAGCACCCTCAATTCATCTAAAGTTCTTTTAAGAAGTGCATTGCTCATACTATACTAATTTTTAAAAAATTCCAGCTGCTTAGAAAATTACAGTTAATTTCACAGATGGTAGGAGCTCCTTAAAGCAAGAAAATGTAATAATTAAATGATGTCCCTGATTGTTCAAAATGCCAGGCAGGCTCTGGACACTGTGTTTTCTTTTAGCTTTTATTTTCCTTTGAGCCTTTGCCAGTTTCTGTCCCTGCTCTGGTGTGACCTGACTCCTGTCTGAGATCTCACTAATGACCACTTCCCCAGGTCATAGAAGAGAAYAAAGTGCGGCAGTATGATTCCATCCAGAAGCTTCTGAGTGAGAAGAGCCTCTTTCGACAGGCAATCAGCTCCTCGGACAGGATGAAGCTCTTCCCCCACCGCAACTCCAGCAAGCACAAGTCTCGGTCCCAAATTGCTTCTCTGAAGGAGGAGACAGAAGAAGAGGTCCAAGAAACAAGGCTCTAGAGAGCAATTAAAAATGATGATGACATGGGACATCCACTGATGGAACTGGAGMAGAAATCAGCTGCCTTAGCCTTAGAAAGCAAGGATGAGAATGCTTTAAAAAAAAATGAAACATTTTGGTTAAGAGGACTTTAGGACATTCATGTAGGTCTGGATAAATGGCTTCCTACAGTCATCAAATTGTGTGAAAGGTACTTCAAATTCTTGAAGTTTTACCACTTGTATTTTGCAAGACAGATTTTCCTGAAAACACTTGCCTTTTGGTAGTTGTTGGAACGGCAGCTAAATATCAACCAGCCTAGTTGTTCACCTTACCGTTTAGTGAAACTRGTTAATTTGTATTAACAAAGAACTGAAATCATACTTCTTAGAGATATGATTAAATAATGATAACTGGAAATTTTAGTGGATTATATAATTTATATCCCTTTTTCTCTCCCCTCTCTAAGATATTTAGACAAATATATTGTCTGCTAAGCATTCTAGCTGTCTCATTTCCAAGCAAGTTTTAGAATACTGCAGGAGTCCCAAGAGAGCTCAATAAGTTATGTTCCATTCAATATCCAATGATTGGTCAAGAAAGAAACTTCCAGATCCTGGGAATCAGGGTTAGTACCATCTGTATCTACCAAACACTTAAATATTTCAGAGTATCAGATTACATTCTTTACCTAGATAAGGACTGTTGTAGTCCCATGTCAGGGATGAGATGGATCCCTTGATGTGGAAATTGACATGCCTCTCCTGCACCTGAGAATATTGAGATCTTAAGACCTCTGACCTGGAAGATGGCTAGAAAAGCTTGTGAGTGCAAAATGGTGCAGAAACACCCTGCGTACCACAGACACTCCAGATACAGAGCCCACTGGTAGATAATCCATGGGCGCTATAGATAGGTGCACATGAAATCCCAGCCTATAGATATAGKGTGTTTCAAGGCCAGCTTTGCGTGCTTCATACTGTCTACACTGAGTGGGAGAGAAAATAGGAGACACCCCGAAGAAGATTAAATCATGAAATAGTTTTATATGCTTCTATTTTATAATTTTGTGATGCAAATGAAATTTTCTCTAGGAAATATTTATTTTAATAATGTTTCAAACTCATATATAACAATGCTGTATTTTAAGAATGATTATATTATGAATTATATTTGTATAAAAGAATTTTTTTATATTTGAAATGTTAACTTTTTATGGCACCAGCTCTTTTTATGATATGTTAACACTGAGGTGGGACGGGACCTAGGGTGATGTGGATCAGGGGCCCATGMATCACTTTTGTGGTGTAGAGAGAAACAGATGCAGATGTTGCACATATCTGTGTGAGTCTCCACCCCCACACAGGTGCCTTCTGATGCAGGTGGTACCAGAAATCTGATTGTTTTTACCAAGGGCACACTGACTTCCCGACTCCAAACTAACCCTCAAGAAGATTGCAATATTTATTACCGTAATAAAATGTCATATTGTCAATAAAATTCTTATATTTGTGTKAAACTCATCTATTCTCAGATGTGTTTATTAATCATATCTCTTCAAACTCTTACTCCAGTCTCTTCATGGAACATAAAACTTTGAGTCTTTCTTTTAGATAGTTATCTATATATTTTATTTTTATATTTTTAATTTAAATATATATTAGATAAACTTGTATAATCTCACATGAATTAGCACACAAATTATGAAGTTGTCTTTTTAAATGGTGGTAAAATATACATAGCATAAAATGTACCATTTTAAACATGTTAAAATACAGGTCAGAGATATTTTGTGATTTCACATTGTTGCACAAATAACCACCATCATAAATCTACAGAATAGTTTTTAACTCAAAAAACTGAAAATCCTTACAATAAAAAAGTCCATCAGACAATAACTCTCCCTTCCACCCAACCCTGGAAACCATGATTGTGCTATCTATATGTGTGATGTTTGACTACTCTAGGGGTGTAAACATACATTAATCCTATTGCATTTGGCTTATTTCAATTAGCATAATGTCTTCAAGGATAATCCCTGTTATTTTATATGACAGAACTTATTATTCTTTTAAAACCTGAATAATATTCATTATACATATCATTTTTATACAATATACATATCATATTTTGCTTATGCATTCTGTGTAGATGGACACTTGGGATGCTTCTACCTTTTGGATACAGTGAATACTAATTCTATGAACATGGTACATGAGTATCTTTTCATGTCTCTATTTTAATGACTTATGACACGTTTGAAGTTAATTTTGTTTTAAAATGGAAGCTTATAGAATGCAAATGATTTATAGAACCAAMTGTTAATACTTCCCACACCAGTGTGTTACAATTTTTTCATTTAGTAAATCTATATTGATACATCATTATCACCCATGGTTTACATGTAGACTTCCTTCTTGGTGTTGTACTTTTTTATGAGTTTTGACAAATTTCTAATAATGTACAGTGTCACGCTTTTACTTTTTGTGTAGCGTCTTATAGAGTGATTTTGCTGACTTAAAAATCCTCTGTGCCATCACTATTCATCCCTCCCTTCCCCCGACCTAACTCCTAACAACTTCTGATGTTTTCACTACCTTAATGCCTTTGTCTTTTCTAGAGTGTCATCTAGACATTCAGTAATGCAGTGTGTGGCCTCTTCTGAGTGTCTTCTTTCACCTAGTAATATGCATTTAATCTACCTCCATGTTGTTTTGTGACCTGATAGCTCATTTATTATTCCTGCTAAATAATATTCCATTGTTTGGATATACCACAGTTCATCCATTCACCTACTGAAGGACATCTTGGTTTGTCTTAGTTTATTCTTATTCATTTTGGCAATTTTAAAAAAGCTGCCAAAACAACTATGTTTGGGTTTTTATGTGAATGTAAGTTTCAACTTTGGCTAACTAACAAGGAGCATGTTTAKAAATCATATAATATAAATATGTTTAGCTTTTTGTGAGTGGCTTACCATTTTGCATTCCCACCAATAATGAGTGAGAGTTTCTATTGCTCCATATCTTTGCTAGTATTTGGCACTGTTAATGTTTTTGGAATTTAACCTGGATATAGGTGTGTAATGGTATCTCATTGTTGTTTTAATTTGCATTTCCCTGATGACATGTGATCTGGAGCGTCTTCTTGTGCTTATTTGCCCGCTGTTTATCTTTTTTGGTGGGGTGCCCATTAAGGTTTCTTGGCCCATGTTACAATTGGGTTGTTTGTTTTCTTATTGTTGAAGTTGAAGAGTTCTTTGTATATTTTGGATAACAGCTCTTTATCAGATATGTGTTTTGGAAATATTTTCTCAGTATATGACCTGTTTTTTCATCCTCTTGACTTTGTCTTTTGCAAAACAAAATTTTAATTTTAATTAATCACAGTTTATTCATTATTTCTTTCCAGGAATTTGGCTGTGATATTTCATCTAAGAAATTATTGCCATACCAAAGGTCATGTAGGGATTCTCTTCCATTGTCTTCCAGAAAATTTATACTCATGCATTTTGTATTTTGATCAATGGTTCATTTTCTAAATTTCCATGAAGGACTTAAGGTCTATATCTAGACTCTTTAGTTTATGATGCTCAGGTTATTTAGCATCATTTAGTGAAAAAAATATCATCTTTTCATCATGGTATTATCTTTATTTCTTTGTCAAAGATCAGGTGATTATGTTCGTGCAAATCTATTTCTGGACTCTTATTTGGTTCCATTAATCTATTTGTCTTTTTTTTTCCTGGTACCATAATGTCTTTAGTACTATATTTTTATAGTAAGTCTTGAAGTCAGATCAGGCAGTGTGTTGGTTACCTCTTCATCAATGTGTGACCAAAATATGGAACCAGAATAACTTAAAATAGGAAAAGTTTATTTTGGACTCACAGTTTCAGAGGTCTCAGCTCATGGTTGGCCAACTCCATTGCTCTGGACCTGAGGTGAGGCAGCACAGCAAAGTGGAAGGGTGAGGTGGGGAAAGCTGCTCAGTTCAGGGTGATGGAGAAGCAGAAAGGGAGTGGGAGGAGCCAGGGAGGCACAATATAACCCCCATAGCATGCCCAGTGGTTCAGCTCCTCCAGCCATGCCCCAGCTGACTACAGTTACCCCCCAGTGATCCACTCAAATTAGTAAACCACAAATGAATTAATCCATGGATAAAGTTACAGCTCTCATGATCCAACAATTTTACCTCCCACATTAACACAGGAGTTTTGGGCGACACCTCATATCCAAATCATAACATTCCACCCCTGGCTCCCAAAAGTTTAGGTCCATTTCACAATGCAAAGATGAATTTAGTTCATCTCCAAGAATTCCCATAGTTTTAACAGTTCCAGCATTGCCCAAAAGTACAAGTCTGAAGTCTCTTCTGAGAATTGAGGTACAATTTTGGCTGTGAGCCCCCATAAAAAAATCAAAAGCAAGTTACATTTATTCAATAAATAAAATGGCAGAGTAAACATTCCCATTCAAAAAGGGATAAATAGTGACAGAGAAAGAAAGAATGGGACCAAAGCAAGACTGAACTTTATCTGGGCAAACAAGTCCCATAGCTCCATGTCTAGCCTCTGGGCACAAAGACATGAGATGTGATTTCCAAAGTTCTCAGGCATTTCTTCCCTTTGGTCTTGCCAGTTGCAGCCCACGTGTCCTCTCTCTTAGGCTGGCTCTGTCCTTATCTAGCAGCTTTCTTTGGCAGAMTTTCCACATTGCTGACATCTCTTAATCTTTGGAGTCTCCACTACAAATTTGGCTTCCTTGTCAAAACTTTATGCATTGCCCCCTCAGGAGCTGCCTGCTGGTATTCTGACCCTACTGCACTTTGCCTGGCCTTCCAGGTCTTCCTTTGAAATCTCAGTGGAAGCTTCCATGACACCTTAACTGCAGCATCCTGCATTTCTGCAAAACCAGYGTCATGTATATGACACCAAGACCTGCCATCAGATTGAGCAGTAGCCGGGCCCACTTGGACTATGGCTGTAGTGGCCTTTGAGTGCGTGGGTGTCTAAGAATGG